GCAGTTTTGCTGACTGCCAAAGCTCCCCTTCCCCCCACACGTCCTCTCCCCCGATTAAAAAAAAAAAAGAAAAAGAAAAAAGCACCGGGATTCAATATTTTCATAACTTTTGGGATGTCTTGCATGTAGAGGAAGGGGGAGGGAGGGGGTTGCAGAGCAGCCACAACCAGCAGGTTTTCGCCTGTCGATTTATCCCTTGCAGCTTCTCTCACTGGGTAGACCTGAACAAGCCGGCACTGCTGTGCAAGCTTCTTCTACGTAGAAGTGTCTGCTCTGCCCTGTATGGCAGACATGAAAGCAGCTGGGGTCAGGGTGACTGGGTGAGGTTGCCAGAAAATTGCTGGGGTCACAGACTGTCTGGGAAGCAAGCAGCAAGTCTGGTGCTCACTTTTTTATGTTTCTGTGTTCAAAGACTGAAAACCCAGAGGATCTCAAACTTCCTGGTCCTTTAAACTTGCAGATTGGTGGAGATGCTGGATGCAATCTATAAGTCTATAAGAAATCTATAAGAGATTATAAATCTATAATTATAAATATATAATTTTTATATGATATTATATATATATATAATATATATAGTTATAAGTCCATAATTTCAACGAAATCAGAGTTTTAATTTGTTGGGAGTGAATGAAACCAAGGAAATAGTTCTGGTTTTGTGACTATTAACAGTGCATTCATTGCTTGATTTACCATACTTCCTAAATTTGTAGGAGTACGACAACAGTATCCTTCACTCCTCGGTCAGATAGTTCACAACAGTCTGCAGTGATCTAAACCCAAAGCTAACAAACACCATGCATCTGAGATATTTTTCATGTGCCAGTGGACTGTCATTTCTTTTCTAAAGGTTTATTTCAACTTCCACACTGCACACATACTAGTTCCCCAGGTACTTTACAAAGTCCAGTAAATATTCCTTTTGCAACACCATTGCAAAAACATTCTACCTGATTTCTCACCACACATGTAAAGATACATCATATTTAGAATAACTAGTACCATTAGGAAAAAAAAAGAGAAAATATACTTTTTCAATTTGAAAATACATGAATTTGAAAAAATAGTAATAGATTTTTTCACAATTTTTCCAATTTTACTTTTTTCATCTTTAGTTATTCTTCTAAATAACAGTTTATCTTTCTCCAAAAGGTTGATGTGTTTAAAAAATACATTACTAAAGTATGCTACTTTGCGTAATATAAATCAAAATGGTGCTCTCTTTTTTATCTGGTTTTGTTCTTGTCAAATGAATGAAAACAGCTTCAAGTTCATCAGAGAAGAACTTGCCACTCTGTTTTGTTCAGAACTGATATAACAGATTACTTGATGACAGAGATCTGTGATTCCTTGACTTCTGCTCCTCATGTCCATATAAATAGGTATTTCTAAAAGTCCTGTGTATTTCTATGCAAACATTTGTGCCACTGGAGTGGTTACCTACTCTGGTTATCATACTGAAAACATCATGAACCATACCACAGCTTTCATGCACTTCCATGCAAAACATGAAGGCCCAGCATCTTGCTATCCTGGAAAAGAATAGATCAAGGTTTTGCTAACGTTGCCTTGAGATTGAAGAAATGCTATACAAAGATATTTATACCAGTATGATTTGAGAGAGATTTTGGAGCTGTTGATGTTTTGTCATTCATTCATTGCACAGGAATGCTTGGTGTAAGTTAGCAAATATAATGAAATCACACCAGAACCCTGACTTTATGAGCCTAACCCTGAGGTTATGCGTCTAATTCCTTCCAGAGCCACCATAGAAACAAAATGTTGAATCAGGACTGTGTAGTTTGTTTCCTTTATGAGTCTTGCTCTTCCAATTCAGGTCCATCTTTGTGAAGATGAAATCTGTGAACCAGGTCAGGGCAGCCCTGGTACATCATGATTTGTCTGATTTTAAAAGTTAAGGAGCCCAGTGTGGTAGACTACTAGCTCATTTATGCAGTATTTATTAACATGTGAGAATGCATTAATCTGGTAGATGGAGTTGTCCATTTTGCAGGAAAACAACAAATATATATAAACTAATTAGTTGTATAAATAGTCCACTGATAGTGCACCAAATAGCCTTCTCTAAAACCCAAGCTGTATTTCTAATCCTGTGATTTTCCACCACTCTCAAATCATTGCTGGACAGTGTCCTTAATTTTACATAGTCTCAAAGACTAGGAAACAGATTCCACCAAGAAAATTTCTCCCCTTTCTATTATTGAAAATATAAAATATAGAATCTAACTATGGAGTTGAAGTAAAAGTAGTAACATACTAAGTGCCATGAATGTGGTCATTCTCTGTGAATAAATGCAACTGTATTTTCTTTATGGTACAAGAGCAAGTGGGCAGTGTTTAACATGCTATGGCAATATGGGTATATTTATTCCCTGTGTTGCAGGCTGTGTTACATCAGGTGTTTTCAGGGCAAAGAAAGTCTTTCTCTTTTTTTTTTTTTTAAAGGAAGCTGCAAATAAAAATCACAAGTGGTGGCACAATGCAAAAAGTAAAAAGGCAATTTTTTGCTATGGTATTTTGCACCTCGTCAAGAAACATTTTGTAAGTTTACTCTGCAACCAGAGTTTTAATTAAAACCCAGAATATTCCAAATTCTATCCTTGGTCTCCTTAGTGCAAATTCACAATAATCATTTATTGTCAATGAAGCTGCTGTAACATTTGCATTAAAATAAATGAGTTGTAGAGACCGACATGCTGGCCGGCTCTTTAAATTTCAAACAACCCACACAGTTCCACTGGGATCACAAGTGGATTGTGACAAAGTCTGTGCCTGTCTTTGTTTGTGGTGTCCAAGACGTTGGACTTTTTCATTCCCTCATGTCATCGGTCCTTAGGGTCATACAGAGCAGTGGCAGTCAGTGTTTGAGTGCCAGACCACTGGTGGGTCAGCCACAACTGTGCCTCATGAGGCTGTGATGTGCTCCACCAGCTGTGGGAGAGGCAGCTGTCTCCAGGAACACTAGGCACCACATGGTTCATTTGGTTTCAAAATGTCAGATGCTGCTCTTCAGGGATCACTTCCCTAAGCCCTGAGTCCTTTACTACTGACTCTGAGCAACACAGGTATGCAGAGGTCATTTTAAGTGAGAAAATATGGAAAATGAGAAAAGGCTTTGGATGACAGTAGGAGAGGGTTTGTCAAGTCTGAGGTTGCCACTGACTTTCAGTTTGAAGGCTTTACCAGCACTTAGGCATCCACCTACTCTAGAAAATCTTTTCGACTTACGTGGCCTAAGAGGTCATCCAGATCTGCTAGCCTCTGGATTTGTGAGCTAATTGGTTGCCTTGAAATGATATTATGCCAGAGTTTGAATATGTTGCTGAGGAGAGTTCTCCAGGAGTTTCTGGGAAGATGGTGATTGTTTTGCTTTCATCTTTGGTGTGTGGATGAAATAGAGGATTTGCAAAGTGGTCATCCTCACATGCCAGCAAAAAAGTACTGTCCTACAGTGTAGCTTTTTCTACCTCCTGGTGTTTCAAAACAAGATTTTTATAGTCAAAAGCCATGGAATACTTATACTGCATTTGAGCAAGCAAAACCATAACATATTTCCACATTGTAAGAAAGACAGAACTGGGATTAAAAGGTATGCTCAGTGCATCTTATCAAAATATTAGGGATAAGAACAAAAAGAATAGGGCAGAAAATAAAAGTGAAAGTAACTGTAATTATATCATTCAAATTTGCAATATGTTCTTACCATGTTCCTCCATCTTCTCATATTGACAGTCGGTGCTTTATTTTTGAAGATAACAAGCTGTTGCTTATGAAAAAGATAAAAAAGAATTAACTTCTTAGGTCAGAGAGACGGAAAAGAGAGTGTTATAGAGGATGAAGAAAAAATGAACAGTGCAGATTCTGGTGTCCTTTTTAAATAATCTCATAATGCTGTGGTCAGCTAGACTGAAGTGTAGAATAAGTTTGAAAATTACATTAACTGAAAGTTTAAAATGGTACCATGGGGTTTGCTTTTGAATCTTACAGCTACAAGCTTCACTGTGTAAACAAGCATTGCAGATTTGAGAAGAGTCATCCGTCATCATTGCAAAATGGAATATAAATTCCATTCTTCGTGCCTCAGAGTGCAAACTCCTTAGATTAAGAAATTAAGAAAGGTTCAGGTTAAGAAAACTGCCAGTGTGAGCAAGGTATCTCAAAGTGTTGCAAGGTATCTCAAAGTGTGTGCCTTGGCAATGTCTCTTAGAGTCCCTGCAGGGTCCCAAACCAAAAGGATATGTTCTGATAAGGAAACTGGTAGCCCTATCTTGATAAGACCATTTCTTTCATTCCTAAAAAGGTCTGATTTTTATTCTTGCCCAATCTTATGGGTCCCTGTGTGTGTGTGAGCTGGAGAAGTGATTTGGTCTGTGGTCAGCCATGCATTCTGAGCTCCATGAGGATCTCAAATTCCCGCAGCCTTTCAGAGAGCAGAGTCTCACCCAAATTCAGGCCTTTATTCTGTCCCGAAGCTTTAGATTCAGACTGTGTTCATCACTTAAGTCAGCCATGGCAGGTTTGACTCACTGCTTGTGACAGCATGGTATTTATTCCTCATGAAAATCACATTCAAGCCTGTGCTGAAACCGAGAGACTAGATTTGCTTTTTCTTTTTTCCTTCCCCTTTCCCTCCCTTGATGTTTTAAGACTTCCAGCTGCTCAGCTTTTCTTTTAAAAGAAGTGTGTTTGCCAACATTTCATTGAGGACTGGCCCATCCAATCTGAAGGTGCTGGGATGTCAGGGGAGAAAGCAAAAGTGCTGAAGAGCATAATTTCCAGTGCTTCAGTCCTCTGTGCTTGTTCCATGTTTCCCTATTCCATCTCTCACTCCTCTTTTCCCTCCCCATTGCAGACTCACATCTGTCCGCCCTCTGGCTCACCTCACCCGCTTGCCTCCCATCCAGGAGAAGTGATGATCTCATTTGGAACACACCAGTCAGTGTGCTGCACGGCCTCTGCTCACAGGACTTCACTGTCTGCAGTTTGTGTACCTGCAGGACCTAAAAATCCAACTTCATTTTCTGCTCTTTTCTTTTTTTCTTATTAAAGACTTACTCTGTCAGGTAAGTTTCTGTCACAAAGGTACTTCTGATCATGAAGAATAAATGTGTGCAGGTAAAACAGAACCTGACTATATGCAATATGATATTTGATCATTTATCCATATCTCTGCAGAAAGTCAGCTCTGTGGTGGACAAGTGACCCCATGCCTGGTAATAGCTGTCTCCTCCCTCAAGTTCTTGCTTTATCGAGGTATATACAATATTGTGCAGGGAGAAGGTTTGTGTGTATCTGCCTTACTTTTTTGAAATTATTTTTGCTTTTAATTCTCAATACAAAGTGTAGAAGTCTGTTCATTTATTTCATTGAATCTTTATTTAGTCTTCCTAAGCATGAATCTTACCCCTTATTGCTTTTCAAATATTGCATTTTAAAGACTATTCTTTTCTATGCTTAAATATAAGTCTGTAGCCTGTTTTTCACAACATGCACGGTGATTACTTTTGGACCCACACTTTTGGAACATAAAAACTTAGTACCAGCTCTTTACTGAACTAAATCTACATATTTGTTTCTAAGATGCAGTTGAGATAATGTATTTCTAAAAGATAATATATACCTAGAATCAGAGCTTTCTAGTCTGAGAAGTGCTATAACTCTTTCATTCTGGATTTGCTCTATGTACTTATCAATGGACAGAGAGATACCTAAACCTAATTGTGACAACCTTGACTTTTTTTTGTTGTTGGCTGATGGCAGTAGAATAAAAATTATGTAGCAACAAAAAGCAAGCATAAGCATGATGAGAACCTGATCACAGAGTCACTTTTTCTAGATATCCAGTATCAGAAAATATATCTAATATCTAACTCAAGTTCTAATTTTTATTTTACTTTTTTTCCTTAGCTGGTGGATGACTCTGGTCATTTCTGGATATGCAGCCTTTGGGGTGATTCTGTCAGTTCACTGGGCAAAACCCTGAGTCTTTGTGTGGGTGCATTGGAGAGCCAGCTAGCAGTGTTCAGGGTTCACATCGTCCTGAAAGTAGATCCTCTGAGAGCCATGCTGAAATGCAGGCCTGATTTCATCACGTGGATGAAGTGGACATACGGAGGATGTTCACCTTTTCTGGAAACCAGGTTTCTGACAGCAGATAGAAGTACTTTCCTGAGGTCCTGAGGTGGGAACTCTGTGACAGCCAGTCCCTGTCCTAAGCAGCCTATAATGAACAAGAATATTTGAAATTTAAGGGACTGAGATATAGAGATTGCATCCCAAACTTTTGTTTGTCTACATGACCCTACCAATGCAAACTTTAGTGCATTATCAGGATCTGGGGAGTCAGCAGGAAATTTTCAGATTCTCTGAAATTTTTGGTCAAGAGCCACCTTTTTTATGTGATTATGCCAAATTTAAGGGAAGACAGTGCTTCTCTCCCCTCCATGGCTCACACCTCAGCAGCTCCAAATCTCTAAAAACCTAGCCTCTGAGTATCCTAAAACTGCCTGCTGGCTCTTTGATGTGATGTATTTGTCTGAGAGCTTCTTTCCATTCTATATGATATGGTGAGGTACAAGGAGCATGAATTATTAGAAATGGCTGCTTGAGCAGTTTTGCTGTGTTCTCTTCATTTAATGTTCTTTTAATAAAGAATGGGAAAACAGTGAAATTGGTAAGAGTTCACAGAAATATTCTTCTATGTACAGAATGGAATTTCAACAGTCTTAGGAAACCAACTCTTACGCCAGTCTACAGAATTCCCTCCAACAGCCTTTTAGTAATTAGCCTGTTGAATTATGTCAGGTTTTTTTATCCTTTCATAATGTCATAGGATTTCCTGATAGAAGGATGGATCTGGTTTTGCTTTTTTCCACCCTCAATTGTGTTTACAGCTCAAATAAATAAAATCCAAGGCATTGTGACGCTTGTTTTCCCTGTAGCCTTTCTCAGAAAAATGTCTCTGTTGATAGAAGAGCTTGATTATTACTGCCCCACTCCCCCCCACCATGGTTGAAAACTTTCTGGAACAAACCTATTACAAAGGAAAACAAGTCCGATCAAAGCATTTTGAAGGAAATATTTTAAGTGAGAGTGATAACTCAAATGTCTCCTTGATCTTTTGACAAAATGATGTTTTATTCCTCTCTGTTACTCTTACAAGACATGGCTTTCCTTGTTGGCAGCTGTGGTCTTGGTGTTGGAGCGTGCCTTTGTGGAAAGGAGTTGTCTATTACATCTGGATTGCAATCATCCTGATCCCTTTTCTTCTCAAACCGTAAGTGAACTCCTGTGAACCATTTAATGTCTTCATTGTCTTCAAAAGTGGTCTTTTACTTGTGCCCTGCGTGTGTCCCACTGCAGGCTGGCTGTAACAGCAGGCGCTCAGTCACATCCTGAAAATACAAGAAGGTCAAGGGATGCTAATGTGACATTTAACAGTGCATGTTACTGACAAGTGACATTTTATTGGGGGAGATTTCATAAAGAGAGCAGTTTAACAAGAATCAGGAAGTGAACATACAGTTATAATTTAAAAAATTAGTACACTTCCCTTTTGTCATAGTTTTTTTCAGTAAGTAATTTCTGCAGACTTCAGTACTAGTTTATTTGTGGCAGTGGTGTACATAAAGGCAAAAGGAAACAAAAAATGCTCCATCTTTTATTGAAGAGTGCTGCAATTCTAAAATTTAGAATTAGTTTAATCTGGCAAGACAAGTATTTTACCTTCTGTTTTTAATCACAGTGTAAAATTAGTTTGATCAATAAGAGGGAAAGTGGTCAGGCAGTGATGTTACCTTATCTTTTAAACTGTGGCCTACTAGTCTTGAAAGATACTTATGTTTTCAGGATGAAACCTAATACAGCACTACTGGAGACTGTAAATTCATTACTTCAGTCCCAAGTCTGGTTTATATGATTGTTGAAATTACCTGGATTCTCTTTGTAGCTGTACCCATTTTCTTTTGTCATTTACTTATTCTGAGGTATAAGTGGAAGACATTTATGAATAAATGATCATTCATATCTCACTTTCAGGCTAAGATGACCTAATAAAGAGAGGGAAAAAAGAGGCTTTGTTAAATCTGTGCTTTAACAGGCTGATGTTCTTGCCTCTGCTTTTAAGCACCTCACTGAGGAAGGTTGATTTGCTGCTGTGTTTTTGAAGCATGGCATTCATCAAACCACACCATCCTAGCAGGCAGAGCAGCTACACTCCAGACATACATAGAGGTGGGGAATGGTAACAGCAGTAAAGATTACATCTGGTATGTTGTCAAAGGGGAAATCATCTCCCCTATCCCTTTAAAAGGACCTTACGCTTGTAAAATTCAACCACAGGCAAAAACACCAGGAAGATGCCAATTAAAAACACTGGATCCAATTTATTCAGCAGGCACATGTTTTCAGGAAGGATTAGGAAGGAAAAAGTGGAGAGGAAATGAGAAACACCCTTGTCAAGGTCAGATGTAAAGCAGAAGGGCATTGCTTGTTTCATATCAGAGCATGGGGGAGAATGGCAGGCCCTAGAAAATGATATCTAATCGTGCTCAAGTCCCGCAATCAGGAAGGGAAAGTAACAGTCAGAAAAATCTTCCTCATTAAAAAGTCAGCATAAGAGAACCCACAGATAGTACGTTATTAGAGGATTTTTGTTTGCTTCAGGGTTGGAGGTTTTTTTTATTTCTCTTAAAAGTTGGCAGCTCTTTGGAAAGACAGACATGCGCTACTTACAGTTGTATCTGAGTTTCTCTCTGTCCAACTTATACCTCTGTGTAGTGGACACAGAGAGTGGCTAACAAGGCCCATTCACTGGGGTTAAGCGAGATACAACCCAAGTGTAACTTCACTCATCCTTCTGAGAGTTCAACAATTCCTAAGTCTTTTACTGGGTTTCTGAATGGGGTGAACTTCACAGACTATGAGCTGAAAGGGATTTTGTGGTGCGAATTGATATTAGTGTATAATTAGGCTAACTGGTGCTAGCAAAAAAAACCCCCAAACTAATTAGTAAAGGGAAAGATTTGCTTTGTGATCAGTGGCTTTTACAATGAATAGTGGATCCTGTTCTCATTAGAGGGTAAGTGCAGACAAGCTGGGAAATGTGTGAATTTTACCCTACTGAAAAGCTCTATTCATGTGCATGGTAGGGTGAGAGAAAATTTTAAAAGTATTAGATATTTAATAACCCATGTCTCAACGTAGTGATAAATTGGAAAAAAATAAGTGGGAAGGTATATTAGGTATATTTATCTAACAAATGAAGGTAAACCCATTTAATGGGCATTTCAAGTAAGAGGGGTGCAGTAGACAAAGTTCTTTTTCTTAAATTAGGAGTTGGTAAACCTTATTTGCCTCATTTATCATCAGTTACACTACTACCTTTATTGTAGTTTGGCCAGCCTCAGCAGGTTTCAGGCCCTGCACAAATCTAAAAGTGGCTTGAAATCGCAAAGCTTACAACACTAATAGTATGTCCTGTGTGGGTTTATTTGGTTTTGGTTAGAACTACCGAACTGCAGATGGGTTGTGTTTTTCAGTATGAGCTTATGCAATAGAAGGCATATATACACGCATTACTTTCATACATAAAAGGAAAGACTGAAGATTTCATGTTACTGCTTTTGTCCACTTCCTCAGCTTTTGAGGAAGTGTACTAAACCTGCATTATAAACCCAACTGAAGACTGAGTTTTATACCTACATGATTTTCTGCGACAAAAAATGACATTGGAGTAATATTTCAATGATGCCCTTGTTTATGTCTGGTATTTTATACTTGTATAACATTTAGTTTACTTTTATAAGAACATAGATTTGCAACTGCTTTGTGCCAGGGAAAAAAAAAAATGATGCAGAGATTAGTAACATAAAAGTTTATTTCCCCTTTTGTTTCCCGAAGTTTTACCTTTTTTTCCTGCCTAAATCCTCAACTGTGAAATTAATTTAAAATGTTGGATGTCCTAAGGACACAGTAAAAAACTATGTGCCAGCCAAATAGCTATTCATTCCAAGTAATGTCAAACAAACCCATCTAGTCAGGTTTTGAGAGGCATATTTTTCTTTACATTTTTTTTATATGAGAGGTCTAAAAAGGTTTATGAGGCTTCAAAAATACTGTTTTTTAAAAGAAAAAGGTTGAGACACCTGTTTTTGACAATTCTTTTATAAAATGTACCTAACTATTTTTTAAATACTAACTAAAATCTTGCAGTTTCCAGGAAAAAAATTATAGCTATCCTTAACTAAATCCTGTTCAATGAAATAATTTGTATATTAAAGACACATGGTAAAGTTTAAGGAATAAAGAATAACAAATAGGAAAATTCAGAAAGAGTAAGTTTTTAATATTGGTATCAGAAGTAGTTTGAATGCTTTCTCAAAGAGAAGGTGACCATGTAGTAACCCTAGTTCTGTAAAGGGTCTTACATATATAAGTTCGAGCACTGCTGTGGAACCTCTACATGCAGGTTTTGAGAATGATACTACAGATCACTGCTTCACATCCAAACATGTCAGATAAAGAGGCTCATGCTGTCAGCCTTTCAGTGGACCATGTCACCTGTCCATGGGCTGATAGAAAAAGGCAATGACTCCACTATAGAGATCCCATTTCCAGTTTGGTCAACCTACACACATGCTAAAACCTTCATGCTTATCTCCGTGCACTGGAAAGTGTTTCAAAGAACTGGAGAAGCCAGGTCAAGTTAAAAAGAACAGTGTTGTCCAATTCCTGTCTTATTAGTTGGTATTGCGGAGGACTTAGCTGATTTCACCACTGACTGTTCCTACCACACTGAGTTAATCACAGAATCATAGAATATGCTGAGCTGGAAGGGATCATTGAGTCCAACTCTTAAATCCTGTGCAGGATCATCCCCAAGGTGACCAAGAGTATCATTCAAACAATTCTTGAACTCTATCAGGCTTGGTGCTGTGTCCGCTTCCCCAGGGAGCCTGTTCCAGTGCCCAACCATGCTCTGGGTGAAGAACTTCTTTCTAATATGCAACCTAAACCTCCACACAGCTTCAGACCACTCCCTCAGGTCCCGTCACTGGTCACCACAGAGAAGAGATCAGTGCCTTCCTCTCCTCCTTCCCTCACAAGGAAGTTGTAACTGCAGTGAGGTTTCCCCTCAGCCTCCTCTTCTCCAGGTTGAACAGACCAAGTGCCCTCAGCCGCTCCTCAAACGGTTTCCCCTCAAGGTCCTTCATCATCTCCATTGCCCTCCTTTGGATTCTCTCCAATAGCTTAATGTCTTTCTTATTTTGTGGTGCCCAAAACCACACACAATATTCAAGGTGAGGCCACCCCAGTGCAGAGCAGGACAATCCCCTCCTTGACTGCCTGGCGATACATTGCCTGATGCCCCCCAGGACAGGGTTGACCTTCCTGGCTGCCAGGGCACTGCTGACTCAGATTCAACTTGCCATCAACCAGGATTCCCAGGTCCCTTTCCATGGTACTGCTTTCCAGCATCTCATTCCCCAGTCTGTACAAACATCCAGGGTTGTCCCATCTCAGGTGCAGAATCTGGCATTTCCTCCTGTTGAATTTCATATGATTGGTGATTGCCCAGTCCTCTGATTTGTCCAGGTCTCTCTGCAGTATCTCCCTGCCTTTAAGGGCATCAACATCTCCTCCCAGTTTTGTGTCATCTGCAAACTTGCTTAGTATCCTTTCCAGTCCTGCATCCAAGTCATTTATGAAGATGTTGAAGAGCACAGGGACCCATATGGAGCCCTGTGGAACCCCATTAGTGAGAGGTCACCAGTCTGATGTCACCCTACTCACTATCACCCTCTGTGCTTGACCCATGAGCCAATTGCTCACCCAGTTGTGTTTATCCAGCTGGGGACTGGACATTTTGTCCAGAAGCATCCTGTGAGAGACAGTATTGAAAACTTTACTGAAATCCAAAAAGATTACATCAGCTTGCTTCCCTTGATCAACTGGGTGGGTTTCCTTGTCATAAAAAGAAATCAGGTTTGATAAGCAGGACTTTCCTCTTATGAAGCCTTGCCAGCTCTGATTAATGACTGCGTTGTCTTTAAGGTGTTTTCCAATACCTTCCAGAATAATATTCTCCATCACTTTGCCAGGCATTGAAGTGAGAATAACAGGCCTTGAGTTTCTGGGGTCCTCATTCTTGTCCTTCTTGAAAATCAGGACAACGTTTATCAGGTTCCAGTCAGATGGGACCTCTCCAGATTCCCAAGACCACTCAAAAATCATTGAGAAAGGTTTTGTGATGACATCAGCCAACTCTCAGAGGATTCTGGGATTAATCCCATTAGGTCCCATAGATTTGTAGGGATACAGCTGGAGCAGTAGATCCTGCACAGTTTCTGGGAGTTATTCTCAGTCATGGTTGTGCAGCTCAGGGCACTGAGACCTCCTTGGTCCATCACCTGTGTTGAAGACAGAGGCAAAGAAAGCATTAAGCACCTCTGCCTTGTCTCTGTCTCTGTTTGTGTGGGGATCATCCTCATCCTGGAACGGGCTGATGTTATTTTTACACTGCCTACTGCCATTAATATATTTGAGAAAACTCTTTGTATTGTCCTCCACATTTCTGGCACCTTCAAATCCAGCTTAGCTTTGGCCGCATGAATTTTCTCCCAACAGCAGCAAGCAGCACCTCTGTATTCCTCCCATGTCACTAGATCTTGCTTCCACTGGGCATACACCTTCCTTTTTTGCCTTAAGACCCATTATACGAAATGATAGTTTTCTTCAAAATCTCTATTAACTTCACCTGATGGAGTTCTGCTGCAAAGTACAGGTAAATAAATTGAGTACAAAACATTTCCTAAGACATATTTTACTCATTAGTTTATATGGTATAGAAGAAAAATACAATCTAAACAAACTAAAATCTGTTGACTTGGCTTCGTACTTTTGCTTAGAGAGGAAAAATTTCTAAAAACTAAGTTGACACTGTTTTATGATTTGATCTTTAACAGCTACCCCTCCATATGGAAAAGCTTTAGAATTCATCTGGAAAATTTAACCCTTTTTTAAGACCTTTAAAAATTTAGCAGAAAACTTGCTATTGTTAATAATTTTACACAGAAAATTTTAAAAGTAAGTGAAAAGGTTGTTCCTAAATTCTAGTATTTAGTATTTGGACAGGCTATTATTGTAAATAGCACAGCTACTTCAAAATTAACAGAGAGATCTGGATTTACACCATGTAATAATATGACCTGAAAAGATTTGAAAATGGCTAATATCTATAGAATTCCACTAGTTTCATCCCTCTCAAATGCTAATAAGGTTGTCCCAAATGCTGACTTGCTTATTTCACAATTTGATTGTGTATCCACAGGCCACTTTGCACAGAGCTTCTTTTATAGTTCTGTTTCTGAAGGAAATAAGACTTTTGCAGTTGCATTGTCTGTCTATTTTGAAAGAAGATGAAAGGGGAAAGGCAGAAAATTATTGCTTGAGCTTGGAGACTGATTTCAGCCAAACTTGGGAGAGGATGGAGGGGCATGCAGCCTTAGGGGAGCTGACAGCAAACGGCAGAGCTGCCCCAGCGAGATGGGCCGGTGGGTACCGAGCCCTTGGCAGCAGCTGCGGTTGGTGCTGAGCACATGTGCAGAGCTCAGCCACACAGTGCCCACAGTGCTCCAACTCAGACAAAGTGCAGGCTGTCCCCAGTGCTACAAAGGATGTCATATGGAGTGCCAGGGGTGAAGGGACTTCAGGGAATGAAAAAGCGGCAAAGTAGGATTTATCAGTTTCTGCTGCTAATGGAACGCCTGGCACCTTTTTTGTTCTTGTGTATATTCATTTAATTTCTTTTTACTTTGAGAATATCTAAGCATTTCTGATAAGTACTGAATATGATTTGCTCCTATCCCATATGGATGCCATAACCTCGTATTACTTCTTTTGAAAATCAAGGCAGAACCAAGATAAACAAAAATTATTCCAATATATTTGATCTTCTATTGTTTAATATACAAGCCACAGATTTTTTACTTTGGTCCACCAGGAAAAAAAATGGAAAAAAATTTGGAACAAGAGGAAACCTTTGGCAATCTTTCAGATCAGAATGAAATTCATCCCTGGATGGATTACAGCCCTTCCCAGCTTTTGTTAGTTTACACTGATTTGTTTTGAGTGTTCTATTTTCTTAAATGTTTTCAAGCCATTTCATCATTCTCTATTTGCACTTTACTCCAGTTGCTCCTAAATCTGTTCCAATCAAGTCAAGTATATACATCCAAAGAAAACACATTTTTAAGAGTGAATATGGCAATGATCCTCTTTACATACATACTTCAGTTTTCCCACACAAGTAGTCCCACTGAGTTTCAGACTTTTTCAAAATAAAGTGTCTTGTACAACTCTTTGCATATTAGAGTCAAGAAAAAGGTGGACTCTGGACTCAAACACCTATCCTGTGCTGTTTTCTTCAATCTGCAAACATAAAAATACCAGCTACTTATCATACCTGATATTAGCAACATGAAAATTGTTAGCATTATTCTAATGCTTAAAAACAGGGATTCAACACTGCACATGAAAGCACAGGGAAAGGGGACAGCCTGAAGTGGGCAAGAGAAACAAGGAGAACAGAATGACTGAGTGGCAGATGCTGAAAAGAGAAAGAAATTTGGGGTTCCTTTTATTCTAAAAAAAATGATAAATAAAAGAGAAAGTTGGTAGAAAGTTTGTTCATCTTGCAAGACTGATTTCTGAAAACCTAAATCAGAGTCAGATCAGGTGGGAATATAACACTTTATTTATACACTTAGATGTAAATTTTACAAATTAGTGATCTTCTTTAGCCATGTAAGGTGATGTAGGAAGCATCAAAAGCTATTTGCACAGTGACTAGCAGCAGAAGTACTTTTTTTTCTCAGATATTTGTTTGTTAGTTTAAAGGAAAAAAAGTAAAAAAGAAAGATACAAGTTTTGGGGGAGCTGCAATACAATTTCTCATTGTACTTGAATATTAACCAAATCCAGTCAAAGTCATATTGGACAGTGATGTAGAAAAAGGCATTGTATTTATATGAAATAGAAAACCAAAGGTTTTTTATGCGTCCATCACTACTTTTCTGTAATAGAGTTCTATCTTCAGTTTTGGGATTTCTTTTATTACTTTTCTCTCCTGAAAAGTGAAGTCAGGAGTCCTCAGATAATGACACCCTGCACCCATTTTACCCCTTTATCTGAGAGCACAAAGTAATACAATCTGGAACAGCTTTTCTACTCTTTCATGAAGAAAACCCACTTATTTTCCATTGGAACCTACTCCCTTCCTTTTTTCCTTTTGAGGGCAGACCACAGGCTATTTTTTCTTCAGTACCACAGTTGTGACATCTGGATTTTGTGGATAATTCCTACTGGTTGGTTTAAAAGCAATCTCAAAGTCAAAATGGTTTGTTCAAAAGAGGGTGGAGAATGTTTTACAGTGTCTTTTTCAGGTAGAGTTATACTTCCCTGTTGCTAAACTTCAGCCTTACTGCTGTTCTTGGTATCATCTTATGAATGCAAAAAGCTTAGTTTGGGCTTCTTTTAAGTGAATATTATGTTTTTTAAAGGTTGATTCAAAAAATAATGGGAATCCTTTCATGTCATAAAGAGATCATCTCGATTTTTGTCAAATCATGTCTCACACTGAAAATGCATGATAAGCTGAAGTCCTTCTTGATATTTGTTATCTGTGCTGAATAAAGACACTTAACTAAATAAGAAAATCCATAAAAGGAACCTTCTTTCACAGAGGAGTGGGAGGACTCCCAGGACAAAGATAGAATACAATTCTGACAACCTACATTTTCAGTTCTTTTAGGGGCACTTTTACTCAACCTTTGCAGAAAAAAATTCCAAACCTGCCACTAGTTAGATTTGCCTAGTAATAAGCACTGAACTTTTCAAAGAAATAATGCATGTACACAGTTCAAGTTTTACGCCAATTTCCAGATATACTTCCGTGTCCTTCAGCAGTCCAAGATGAGTTTTTCATGAGACATCTACCAAATCACAACAGCGGAGAGATGGAGAAGAAAGAGGAAAAACAAAAACCTTGGGATCACCTACATGAAGTTATCAGGTCAGCTGGGGTACCTCAGCAGTAATGTTTGTGGTTACTAATCAGTAAAACACATATTTGTATTTCACTTTTCTTGCAATTTGATAATTTCACAGACATAAGAAAACTGAAGTGCTTTTTCCAGGAAAGCAGAGGGCACTACAGCTAACCTGCTTTTTTATTTGAGTGTGAGGAGAGAGCCCATATTGGTGTAACATGCACCAAGAAACAAAAAATATAAGTAGACATTAAGAATTATATTAACTGGAGTGAATATTGCTGTAACCATCCTTACATACGCAACCTTTCTTCCAGCTGTCTGTTAAAATCCGATTAATTTATTAAAGGGTTTAAGACTTTCCATGTTTATTGGGTCAAAGTCAATTTGGTGTGTTAAGAAACGTAAGAATATAAGGGAGCTATTTATATGAATAAGCCCTAGAAATGGATCAATATTTTGTGATGAACTCTCACAGTTTCAGTGAAATATAGTGTAAAGTGGGATACAGGTCAGGAAAGTACTTCAGTCTGTCATGTCTGAAGTGTACACTGACAAAGGTATGATTTCCGTAACACAGGAGCAAGGTCAGCAAAGCAATTTCAATATACATTGTCCTCACCTTAGCAGTGCTTACCTACAGACATTCAGATGGAAAGTATTCAGTGCTGATCCTTTGGAGTTAGTAAGAGAGAAAGTTCCCTTTAAGAAGAAGTGATTAGATTTCTGCTTCCCTGGGTTTCATGATGCCAGAGAAGTAGAAAAAGCCATGTGACTATGGGCCAATTTCCAGTGCTTTCACATTAAGGAAATTATTTTCTGAGCTGTAAGGGATATCATTCTTTTTTTTTCTGCTTGTGATGCCTGTTTCATGGAAGACTACAACTCCTGACACTCTCCAGCTGTAGACTCTGGAAAATGTGTGGCATTACAGGACCTTCGAAAAGTGGTAATTTTTTAGTAAAAAGTTAAAACAGAGAGAAAAAGAAACTAACCATCCTTGCTAAAAGAATAATATTCTCAAAAAGATGCTTGAGTGTCTGTTGGTGAGGAGAGGAGAGCAGAGATCAGATTTGATTTATTAGGAAGACAAGTTGAAAATCTTAACCTTACAGTGAAATTTCAAGAATGTATTTTTCTGTGTGTCATCTAGTCTGTATGTCACCTTGTCTGTGTTACAGTTTAAAGGTATAATACCTCAGTAGCCTGGATTTCTTCCTAGGTTAAATTCACACTGGCAGGTGAATACAAAAATCCTTTGCATAAGGCTTGGATAATGTCTGTGTCCTGCTTAAACATTACCAGGTTTCTGACTTTGAGCTGAATTTAAACCTTCTCTCTGTCTCATGCTGACTGTGCAGACCTGTGTTACATACAAAAACTGGAGCACACTTTAAAAATAGAGCTGTTTGGTCACTTAATAATGTAGATTTAGGATTAGTTAAAACCAGTTCAACAAGTCATTTTCCGGCTGTGGGAAAAAGCAACAACAACAAAATCAAAACCAAACTGAACCAAAAAAGCTGGCTATTTTGTTTTCTAATATATATATTTATATATATATAAAAATATGTGGTGGTTAAGCTTTCAGAGATGGTCCTTAAATGATAAGGATGTTTTCTCTTTACATATGTGTCTATAAATGTACCTTTTAACAATGGAAAGAAAGAAAGAAAGAAAAGAGTACATCTTTTCAGTCAACAGAAATGACAAAGTGTTTAAATAAGGGCAGGATTTGACATGACTAGAGAGGTAACCGAAAACAGTGTTTCTCCAAACAACAAGTGTTGCAAAACAGCTGTCAAAAATTCCAGATGTTTAGTCCTTCCCTCACCAACTTTAGTACAGCCTGATATGTAAACAATACAGTACACTCTCTACAGAAATAAAATAGGTGAGGAAGGTCCAAGTGTGTGGCTGAAGAGCTTTGTCAGGATAGGAGAGGGATGGATGGGAACACCCTCCCCAAAGTTCCCATTCCTTTCCCCTTTTCTCTCTCTCTGCCTGCCAATTTGTATTTCATAACATGATGAGTTACAGAAGGTTGTGAACCAGCACGACATGACCTTACCTTATACCCCTGTGAGAAGGCTGAATGCAAAGGCTGTGAGCCTAATTCCCCCAGTACAGTGTGGGTCATAACCTGTTATTGTTGTTTGGTTGTAGTGGTGCCAGAACAGACATTTTTCTTGTCTGGATTCCAGTAATATATCTCACAGCTTGCTTTTTTTCTCATTACTTGGCTAGTCTGTCTTCTCAGCTTACATTTTCCGCAGTTCTGTCGGTCCCTGCATTGGCTACTAGACTGTTGAAATCTGTTGCAATCATTTCCCTCATGATGATGTGGGAGAATATAACCCTGTGGCTGGGGAATTAATGTGTATGAATAGTAGAGGGAAAGAATTACACATGCTTTGTGCAAAGAGGACCATTGGCTCACACACTGTTGCTATTTCTCCAGAACTTTCCCCTTGCTGTCCCTGCACAGTCCTAAAAAAAAAAAAAAAAAAAAAAAGAAAGGACAGAGTTTTCCAGGATTCTTTCCTGGTGAAATCGCCCTGATCCTAAATGAGAAAGTGGGAGTGCGGGACAGCAACTCCGTGTGTAGACTGATCAGATGGGAGGGCCCATTCCTGCTTTGTTGCTGTGATGGTTTCAGTCTAGGCCTTCCTGGAAACCAGCTTGTAACCAGGAAGGAACCATGACAGTTGCTGTGGTAGACTGGTAGACTTACACCCATTCTGGCCCTTCTCACAGTCTGGGTTTGCTTCTGTAGAGAAGCTGAAACAGAGTAAATGTTGGTATATTTTAATATGTGATTACACATCTTTTAAACTACTTTGTATGATATTCAGTTCATGATGCCAGGAACAGATGCAGTGAAAGGATGTCTTAACAATTACTCTCTCTTTAGACTTAGATATCCCTATCCCCATGTTTTTGTGCTATGCATTACGATCAGTAGGTGTTTGTCCATGATGTCAAACAGTCTTAATCTTGTTGAAAAGGAGGAAAGGACTGGGTTGCTTTTAAAAAAGCTGTCACTTAGTGACAGTTGCAGAGTGTAAGAAAAATTCACAATGACTAAGTTTGGTCAAGTCATACCAGATACACAGATCTCATTCAAAGTCCTCTCTGTAGATATCTACTGCACCTCAGTTGTAGGTATGGCATGAAGTACAGAAGATTGCCTGTTTCATGTGTCTTCAAAAAGACAAAAGTGAAGTCACATCTTGAAATACGGCTTGATTTAATTTTGAACAATGTCCTTTGCTTTTGGGATAGCAGTCAAAGTTGCCAGTAGCTGATGACAGATCAGTTTATTTCTTTATATCTCATCTACTCCTCACAAATACTTTAAATATTTTACCTGTGCACAAAAGACTGAACAGTAAGTCAGATATACTGCAGGGATTCGGTGTTGAGACTAGTTTTTACAGCAATTGTGATTGCTTCAGCCAGCTCTTTCAGATCCTGGAGACTTAAGCGGTGACATGTCAAGCTGGAAGCCCAGCAGTGCCTGGATGCAGCACCAGCTGCACCAACTCTCAGGGATAAGAGGAGATCTTAATGAAAGTAGCTGTTCTGTAGTAGCCTCGGGAAACTCCAAGGGAGATAGAACAGAGAGTTTGTCAATGCAGAGAACAGAATTGTGCCATGGGGCTCCCTGAAAGTGTCTGGTGAAGGAAGAAGAAGAAGAAAAGAGATTGTGGGGAGAATGAGACCATTGCTTATCTCCCCTCAGAGCAGCATCATGTTTGTAGTCAATACATTTGTGCAGTAGCCCATCTGTGCACTCAAATCTATGAGACAAGTGCCAGATTCTCAAAGGAAAACATAAAAATTCAGCCTGTATAGTTATACTATCACAAACTGAATAGGTAATTGAACAGTTTAGGACTCCCTCCCTGCATATTTTCTGTCTCAATTTGAAGATAGAAATCTCAGTTAAGGAAAAAAATTTAAGAGGTTTTACCGGAGCCTGAAAATGACATTATTTATGGATAAGAAATATTTAAATTGATGTGATAGACACTGTGTTGAAGATTCTGGCCTTGATACTTATTTCTGGGAAATAGAGAAAAATAAAGAGGTCAAACAGTATAATGTCCAATTCTTTTTATAAATGATTTTTGAGATGTTTAAGGGAAGCGTTATATGAACACAAAGCTCCACTCCAGGAAAGTTAAAAGTGTAGATAAACATGACACACAGTTAGCTAGATGTAGATGCCCAATGGAGAAGCAATTTTTTTAAGAATAAAATAATCACTAGTAGAACTCAGAGGAGAAAAACAGGCATCCTAGCTGCCTTAGGTAAGAAATAACAGCAACTCACCTGCTCAAAGTCAAAATTCCATAGTTTCATCTTGTTTTTGTCACATTGTTGTAAAGGTCTGGAAAACTATGTTGATAATTTTAAAACAGTTTAAAGAAGGCCAATGAGAACAAGCCTGTCTGTGGGTCTCACTTGGTATCACACCTCACAAAGAGGATTAGAGTGCAGCGTTATTCTTAGACACACAGGTAGAGGTTACCTTGTGCGCAACTAACCTGGGCATTTGACATACTTCCCTATTTCATGATCCAGGGAGATGATAGTCAGCAGGGGATGGCCAACAGATCTGGGATTATCTTGCAGAACCTTAAAGTTTCTTTGCAGTATATGAAATTTTGGTGCTTGATACCAGTATATCTTCCCTGTTGCAGAATTCTTTCCTTTGTGTGTAGGATGTCATTGGCCAGTGTTTCCTCTCATCTTCCTCTCAACACTTCTATGTTTTTCCTCCCTCCAAATGTATTATGTAACTTTTGCTTTATTTCTCCTTGTGTATATGTCTTCAAGTGTAATCAAAAGCTAACTAGGAGTTCAGGCCTGCTGTTTCAATTGGCTGTGTTGATGCCCATTCATAACTTCCAGTCTGCTTGGATCATGTGTTTTCTTCCCCCCGTTTGATGCAGACAGACTTTCTCTTCTGTATTGAAGAGGAGGAATTGAAAAGGGTTTTTCCAGGAAGG